TCCCCTTTAGGGGAAGAAGTGTTCCCCTTCTTCCCCTACAGGTGACACAGAATAAGGGACCATGGAGGACATGCACGTAGATAGACGTGAACAAACATAGGTTGACAAGAGGGCTGGGGAAATTGGCGAAGGTGTAGGAGATGAAAAACAGACAACCTTCAGTTATCCTTCAAATTTAGAGGCACTCTTCGCTCATCCCGTTGCTCAGAGGAGAAAAGCGCACCTGCTCCTTGGCAAGTCCAAACGCTGTCTGCCGCGCCTCCTTGGTGACATAGGCGCTTGAAGAGAATGTTGTGCTTGAAGAAGCAGCTGCTAAAGTTAAGGAAAGTGGCAGCCATGGCGACGCAGCTCTGACAGGCAACCTTACAGGCGGTGTGCGGACGGGACAGGATGTTAGCATCGACGAAGGCCGAGCACGATGCTTCGCCAAAGTAACGTGGTGCTGTTTCATGGCGCACAACTACAAATGAAATCGAAATGAAATAACCCTGAAATACACAAGGAGTTTGAATAAAGATATGGAGATATATTGTGTTGTGAATTACACGATATTCCGGTCAGACCTCTCTTGTAACGCTGCTAAGGCAGGCCTTGGCTTGTTCAGAAGTACTGGGTACGGTGAAGGTGGTTGCTAAGGTTGTACGGGTCGAAAGTGAGACGAAGGTTGCATTTGGTGGGAGAGGAAGTGTGAAAGGTATGTCTTTATTAAAGAGATTTAAGGTGCTTGATAGAGATTTGAGGCGTTTATTTGGCCAGGATCAGACCCTATCTTGCCATCGTTCGGAGACAGTCGGTGTGTAGGCGCACCGCTTCTCCCTTTCTCTCACTTCATACCTTAATTTCCCGTATCATCTTCTCCTTATATTATAGTCGACTCGGCGTCCTTTCTGACGCGCGGCTCAATAACTTCCGAAACGCGGATTGCTGCCGCGCAAACTTCTTGACGCGACGTCGCCTACAATCTGCTGTGGATCAGCCTAGTCTACATCATCCTTTACCGACGTCAAATTCGCTGCTGCATTCGTAGACAGTGGAAATTGTTTCCATCCGCACACCGTCCGCGACACCTGCAGGTCTGGGCAGCTGCCCAGACGAGACGCCGCCCTGGAGCGACGCAAACCGCTTCCTTGCCAGCGCGCTGCTCGCAACTACAAGACGTGCATTTAGTTTAGATCTGTAAATTATTCTCAGAGTAAGTGAGAGACCGGGAGAAACTTGAACTCGCCGAACTAGCGTTTGTCATGCAAGAGCGGTCCCCACAAGCTCCTTGCCACACCGCGCTTACAGCGCACATGCTTTAGGCTACACACAAGTAGAAAACATCGCTATTCCAAAAAGGAAACGGGAGGTTCTCCATGTCCACAATTGAGTCTCCCGAGCACGAATGTGTGCCCACGCGCATAAACCACCTCATCTGGGCCAGGTGTCGGCACAGGCGTGCCATCCATCCCGTGGAGCTGACCTTTTCGTGCTCCCTTTACTCTTGGCTACCCGCCCTTAACTGGCGGCGGGGTTGATTCGGGGAGGAATTCAGGAAGTCTTTCTGAAGGTGACCGGAATACGGCCGGGATGCAGCAGATGACATCTAAACAAGACTGGATGGCTCAAGCTGGAGTGTCACGGATACGATTCCCATAGGGCTACATGACGAAGGAGAAGATACCGCGCAAAAAACAGGAATCAGGCTGGGTGCCTTGTGCTGACGGTCGTGCAGGCGATTCTTGGTGAGGCCGGGGACCCAGGTTTGGGTGCTGCAGATATGACCGGACTGATACAGGGGGACCCGGTTGAGGTGTCACGGATGCAGCCAGAGTGAAGCCTGATGGCCCAGCTTTGGGGTGTTGCGGAGTTGACGTTAGTGAGGCCAGATGGCCCATGCTGGGGTGTCGTGGATGCGACTGGAAGGGGCCTGGAACGCCCATGCTGGGATTGTCGTGGAGGCCTGATGGCTCATGCTGGGGTGTCATGGATGCGACTGGGAGGGGCCCGGATGGCCCATGCTGGGGTGTCGCGGATGCGACTGGAAGGGGCCCGGATGGCCCATGCTGGGGTGTCATGGATGCGACGGGAAGGGGCCTGGAGGGCCCATGCTGGGGGTGTCGCGGAGGCCTGATGGCCCATGATGGGGTGTCGCGGAGTCGACATTAGTGAGGCCTGATGGCCCATCTGAGGTGTAGCGGTGGCGGCTGGTTGGTGCTCATCTGGGCCATCATCACCCATTATTCGGACAACACCAGATTCCGCCTGCCCATATGCAGGTAAATACTTCGTTGTCACTTTCTTTCTCTCTACCTCTTCTCCGGTAGCCACCCACTCTTGTGTCGCGGCTGGGTTGGCTGGGGCGGGGGGGAAATCTAGGGCTATTTCCAGCAGGTTTGGTCCTTGCGAGCGTGTGATGGCCCTGTTACGTCCACTTCAGAAGGGCCGCTAAAACCGCTGGGTACGACTTGAGTGGCCTTTAACAGATTTCAGAGGCCACCGAATTACAGCTGGGATGCTGCAGATGACAGCTAAGACAGCCAGGAATGCCACGGATGTAACTGCCCTGGTGGGTATCAGTTATGAGGGTGGATGTGACCCAAGTGGACCTGATGGCTCATGGAATTGACATTAAAAAGGCCTGATGGCCCAGATTCAGGATGTTGTGCAGTAACATGGACTGCCTGAGGATCCAGATATGGGGTGTTGCTGAGTCAACATTAGCACAGCCTGATGGCCCAAACTCGGGGTGTCACAGAGTCCACCTTTGGCGAGGCCTGATGGCCCGGGTTCACAGTGTCGAGGAGTCAACATTAACGAGGCCTCACGGCCCAGGTTCGGGATGTCGTGGAGTCGATGCCAGCACGGCCTGATGGCCCAAACTCGGGGTGTCACGGAGTCCACATTTGCGAGGCCTAATGGCCCGGGTTCACAGTGTCGAGGAGTCAACATTGGGCCTGGGCCGCGGCCTGACGGCCCAGGTTCGGGATGTCGTGCAGTCCACATTACCGAAGCCTGAGGATCCAGATACAGGGTGCCAGGGAGTCTACATTAGCGCAGCCTGATGGCCCAGGTTCGCGGCCCAGGTTCAGGGTGTCGCAGAATTGAGATTAGCGAGGCCTGACGGCCCAGATTTGGGGTGTCGCGGAATTGAGATTAGTGAGGCCTGATGGCCCAAGTTCACAGTGTCGAGGAGTCAACATTAGTGAGGCCTCACGGCCCAGGTTACTTTGATAAGAGCCCAGACATTGACGGAGCGAATCCGTCCTGTAACCAATCGGTTCACACCGATATTATGTGCAAACATTGCTTTTGTTGTTGATGTCTGGAAGCTCCAGTTGAATAGGACAGTATTGCAATGACTCGGATTCAAAATGCTATCCAGCAACTCGTACAGCCATGTCGTGCAGATCCATCCTTGTGGGTCTCGCAAAGACCCACAAGGATATCTCAAACACATCATACAAGATCATGTTGTACAGCCCATGCATACCTTCATACAGGTTGCCCTGGCCGCCGCCTTCTTCCTCGCCCTCTTGACTCGTCCAGATCTCGACCCTCAAAGCCGGATCAGCAGCCTGTGAAGCGTATACTGATGCATCACGGTGTCACCTCGCACCTCCTCATCTTCTCCTCCTCCTCCTCTTCTTCTTCTCCTCCTCCTTCAACCTCATCTTCATCCTCCTCCTCTCTCTGCTCATCTTCTCCGTTGTCCAGTCCTTCCACAGCCCTCATGACCACTTTGTCCCCCTCCTCCTCCCCCTCCTCCCCATCGTTGTCATCGCCGTCACTGTCATCGCCGTCACTGCTGCCTGCACGTATCCCAGCAAGAGCTGTCATTTTATATATACACATATACATGTATATGTACATATGTATTTGTTTGTATTTCTGTGTATGATTGTCTTTTGAAATCGTAGGAACCTCTTAAGAGTCATGGTGTAGGAGATTATGGGACAAGGGGGGGGGAGTGTGCCAGGGTTGCCAACCTGGACCGTGGGCGGAGGTGGCGGCGGCGACGGCGGCAGGACGCCTGCGCCCTGCGCTACTGCTACGAGACTTGCTACCGGCACCGCTCTGCTTGCTACTGCCGATATCGGCAGCGCCCAGCACATTTTCCAGGTAGTCCTGCAAATCCTCTTCCAGCACGTCGCTGCTGCAGCCGTCGCCGCCATCACCGTCGTCGTCACGGTCGCTGTCTGCATCAGCGCGCCGGGGGGCCCGCAGCCGCGGTTGATGTTGGGGCAGAGACCGCCACGGTTCCTGATGCGGCGACTTGCCGCTAGGGCCGTGGGACCGGCTGAGGCCGTGATTGGTGATGCACACGCCGCCAATTTGCACATAGGCGGTTTCGAACCCCTGATTATGAGGAGCAGGTGGCGATGGGGAGGAGCGAGGCGAGGGTTCGTTGCGCAAGTGGAAGTTCAACAGTGAAAAAGGTGGATGGACAACCAGTATGGACAACCGTCGAGTTATAGTGTAGTCTTTTGAGGTATTCAAGGATGGACGATTGGATTTCCCCTTGGGACTTAGGGTTCAAGAGTGTCAAACGTGAGCGTTAGCATTTGCGAAGCTTGAGCTGAGAGGTCCTTTCGTCCCGCGGGACGAACCTGCTCTGCCACTGCAGGGAACTCCTGCGACTCGCCAACCACAAAAGCTGTAGGCTTCTATTTACGCCTCCCCATTCTATTATTCCTTGAATTTAAAGGGAGAAGTGCGCTACCAGGGCTCTCAACCTTAAAGCCAGACGGATCAGCATTAAGGAGTCGATAGGGGAGACGATAATAGCATAATACCCTACAAATTTTCACAGCGAAATGTGAACGCTCTGGCCTCTCTGAAGTTGATAGTTGTTGACAGGTTCTCACCCGGTGCTCCGAAACCTTGAGGAAGGTCTAAATGGATCTACACATGTCGCGTTTTTCGGCGATCATATGGAAGTGTTATTAAGTTATGATGCATCCTGATCATTTGTCGGAAGGTTGAAGGTTCACTTGACAGGCAATCTATGTGGAAACAGGGCGTGGACAAAGAAAAACATGGCATGTATAACTATGGATCCACCACATGTGGTTAATACTGGGGTATCTTGTGCGGCCTGCTGCAATGTTGCACCGGGCAAGCTGCTGCGCTGCGCGGCCTGCGACAGTGCATGGTACTGTAACCAGGAATGCCAGCGAAAGCACTTCAAGGAGCACAAAGCATTGTGCCGCGCATTGAGGCTATTCCATTCCTTGCAGGTGGGTCTAGTATGCGTTTCTTGCCGAAGCCCCCGCTCGGCGACGTAAGAGTGCCCACACTAAAGCGGAATCCCTGGAATCACCTCAATGTGTACAAGTATGTTTGGTTGACCTCCTGGCCGTAACTGCTGGCAATGTTCCTTGCGTGTCGAGCTTGCGACGTCGAAGTTTAACTTGTCCGTAACTTAAGTTTTCAAGGGCCCTCGCGTAAAAGTTGTTATAACACCACTGCGTCCGTTTGCAGAAGGACTTGCCTTTGGAATCCTGGCCGCGCACTGCACACGAGTTCTACATGCAGGTAGTCGGTTACGTATGGTGTTAAGAGGATCACCATGCCTGTCGTCTGCGCAAGATCCAAAAAATCCTGCAGGAGTACCTTATGCACAACCTTGCACGCATTCTGGGACGTCTACGTATCTTGACATGACTGTCAGAAGTCGTCGAAGTCCCCGACGGCTCCCGCAAGCCGCAAAGGGCAAGCCGCAAAACGCACGAACCACTATCACAACCTGTTATGCCCTATATTA